AAAATTGGACAAGATCTTTTTTATTTTCCTCAGGCTGCTTCTCATCCCTAATCCTCCAAACTAATTTAGGGAGGATAAAAAAGGAGACACTTGGCAGAACATCCCTCTTCGATAGCAAACAACTTCTACCACTGCAGGGCTCTTGTGCTGGGAGCCTGGTCCCCAGCATCCCCTCACCAGGGCTCAGCACAGTCCAAGGACGTTTCAGATGCTTAAGGGCCTCCTGGGAAGCTGAAGGAGCTGAAGGAAAATAGAACAGTTCCTTCTGTTTGGGCACATAAAGCGGCAACAGCCACGGCTGCAGCCCTGGGGACGGCAGCTCTGCTGCAACTCGGTGGCTTCTGCAGAAAGGCTGGCAGTTAGAAGAGGTCTGAATGAGATGGACAGTCCCTGGGAAAAAAAGGTTAATAAATCTTCTGTCACTTGGAAGGAGTTTGGGAGGAAGAAGCCCAATGATCTGAGAATTACTAATGACTTGCTTTTCAGCAAATAATCCCTCCCTTAGGAGAGCCAGCGCTGCTACATGAGGATCAGGCAACAAAACGCCACACTGACATCATCAAACTGCTCATTAGCCAAGCTCTCCCCATTTCTCTCTGCGGATCAGCTACGAGAACCGGTCCAGGAGACAGGAACGAGCTCAGCCTCTTCCCCAGGCTCTCCTCCCTGCCTGCAAACAGCCCCAGGGCAGGCAGGTCCAGTGCCACCAGACCCACGTGTCCACCAAAGACCCAGCACCACCGAGCCCCGTGCCCGCAAACCGACACAGCTGTACCCGCTGGAGCTTTAAGCAGCTACCAAGATAGGTGGAAATACCCATAAATATCCACCAAATAGTATAACTCAGGCACTTTAAAAAGTTTTAGGGAGGCAGGTGGGGTGGGTTTGCTTTTGTCACCCACCTTCTCCCCTCCGTGCCGGCATCCTGCTGGCCCACCGCCCCCTCGCTCCGAAGGATGAGACGCACCGAGGACGTGCTCGTAGCAAACGGTTTGCAGAACGAGGAGGTGCTGAATTGCACACGCTCGGCGCAGTGAGGGTTTGCCATCCCGCTGAGGTTCGGTGCCAGGTCTATTTCTGCACCAGCCCACCAGGTTTGGAAACACCGATCTCCTGGGGATATCCCCTGGGATTTTCCGCGAGGGATGAGTTTTAGTAAACCACCTCAGTTACAGTAAGCGATTATTGCACAACTGGGTTGTGCAAAAGAACAAACAAAAAAAGAAAAAAAATAAATTGCAAAAGTTAAGTGCTTTTTGGAAGCGGACCGAGTCACGGCGATCTGCCAAATTTGTTTTCCAGGGATCAAATGGTGCTGAAGGGAAACATCTGACCAAGACACAGCCCACAACTGAAAATACTTCCGATTCACCCCTTGCTCACTTCAGCAAGCAACTGGAGAGCTGATGGGGGTGATCATCTTACCAACACCAAAATCAAACTGTGCTTCTGCAGCTGCAGATGCCACCTCAGCCCAGGCTCTAATTTTAGAAGAGCAAACCTCTGGTCCTTCCTCTTGCTCAGAGGTTTCAACCACCATTGGCCAAAGCTAGCAAGAAATGTTTCACGTGAGCAACAAAATTGGCAATTCTGGTCTGAAGGAAAAGGTAGAACTAGCAACAGTAAAAGAAAAAGAAACACTGGCAAGGTTAGTGGCTTTCGACAGACCTACCAACTTTCTTTTTTTGAATTTAAAAGAAAAACATAGATAAATCAAGACATCTCCATCTTCCAACCACTTAGAGCAAAATGAAGGAGGACTGAGCTGGTGGCATTAAAGGAGGGTAGCGATCAACTAGTGATCAATGTTTTTAATTGAAAATGGATCATTATCTCCTTTCTGTAGGCATCTAAGGATGGCGTAAGAGTACCTTTAACAGTACCTTCCTAATCCACACTGTTTGACTTGTGACCACACCACACTTGGGCATAACACAGGAGCAACATGAAACCAAGCCTGTGCACGTTAAACAGGCCAAAAATTCATTACAAACTTTGATGGATCTCAAAACTGGAGTCACCAGGAAGGCACGTTTCTAGTGAGGCTTCCAAGAGGTTATTTCTTTGTCCTAACCTACTCCACAATCTTACTAAGACCCAGAAAACAGCAGATTAGAGATTTGAAAAGAAATAGCAGGACCTACAGAACCCAGGAGAAGGTTTGTAGATCATGCAGAACGTGCATGGCCATATTGCTCTACCAAATATAAGCAAAAACCAGCTGTGCCGTAGCCAGATGCCAGGAGGACCACTGAGCACTTGGTGTGGGCAACTGGCAACGTGGGGCCAGAAGGGTTACGGCGAAGCTTAGGATGAACACGAAAGCACTACTAGTAGAAAGGTTGTGCGGCCCAATGGCTTCTCCAGCATTTGTAGTTCCAATAAAGATGCCAAAAACCTAAAAGAGTGCTGAAAGGAACCTCACAATTGGTTAAACGTGAATTGGGAAATACCCTTTATAGCGAGAGATTTGAAGTCATTGAAGAAGTCGATCGGTTTGGTTCTTGGTGACTTAATTCTATGCTAGTGACCTACAAGGTGTACTTAAATTCAGTAATCAAGAGCACGTCAATCTGACGCACACGTTAACTAAATGGAAAGACCAAAGGCTGAAACAAGATGAGTTCAGACTACAAAGACAAGGCAGCTTTTTAGGCATAAGGATAATTAACCCCTGGCCAAACAGACCCCACCACAGCAGCCCCACTGGAGGAGTTTCTACACCCCAGCTGCACGCTGCCAGCGGACACCCCCAGCTCCAAGAGGAGCTGCCGCAGGGCTGGAATTTCAAGGATTGTGGGGGGACAGGGGTTCCCAAAAACTCAGGAGCTGCTGCAGCAGGGAATGACACCACAGACCCAGCCCAGCACCCTCCCACCAAAGCGGGCTGCCTTCTCGCACAACGAGGCATTCGCTCACATAATTACGGCATCCACAAACGCAGGGAACTAAACCTTGTTTGTCATCAGAAATAGAAAAGGATGATGTATTATACATGAAACCTTTTAAAAAGCAGCATTCAGCACTTTAGAGACAAAGCAAACCAAACTTCACTTGCTTGCTTGCTCCAGTCTCCTCTGCCTCTGTCGTTTTTGGGAAACGCAACTCAGGTTAAGTAACCCACGCTACATACTTAAATATAATGCCAAAGAACCCAAAAGGCTGTTGGCAAGGGTAAGACTGATTTCTATTCAAATCATGTCCCAACTCCCAGCTATGCCTGGCCTGTAGCTCAGTACAATCACGTCCAAAACACACCAGTATTAATGAACTAACACACAAAGGCCATTTCCACTACAAGTCAATTACTTTTTTTTTAATTCAAAGAAAAAATGGTATTTTAATAAATACTGCAGAAACATTAACCAAACATACAAAGTGACTTCAACAATTAAAAAAAAGTAATGAATGTCCTGCTTTATAACAGTTATAACTTATTTTTTCCACAATATTTAAATACAGAAAGCACTTACCAGCTATTTTGTAATACTGCCCTAAGCGCACTGTTGCATCAGTCAAAAGCTTATTATGGTGGTAAAAATGTCTTTTTGTGGGAAATGATCGGAATGGGTGTGGGGGGTTTTTTTCTTATCAGATGAGACAAAGTGCTGGGAACACAGAACTGAGTTTTAATTATGGTAACCCTTTACCTTTGCACAAGTTAACGTGAACACAGCTTTAACACTTCAAAAATGAAGCATCACCCTTGGGAACTGAACGCTTGTCCTCAACAAGCGATAGCCGCACTGGTTAGAGCTTACAGCATCCTTCTTTCGAGAGAAGCTATGTAGTTACATCAGTCAGTAAGCAGTTGCAAACAATTTTAAAGGCCGATTTATTTAATGTAACAATAGTACTCAGTAAGCAAAAAGGAATTTGACTTAATTGGTTCACCGATGTTTCATGATTGTTGTCTGGATACATATATATTAATCTTAAAGACTAAAGGCAATATCCAGTTTCCACTGGGGACTCCTTAAGGCGTCGCAGTTCTTCAGACCCCATTTCCTCACCACGAGCAAACACAGTCTGCAGCGAGAGATGGCTGCCCCAAAAGAAGAGCATCGCAAAAGATAACCTGGCTCTGCTGGCTCATTTGCAGATTCTTGGGTTTTTTTTGCAAAGACAATTGCAGTGAACCACATCACAGAATAGCACTTCTCTGTAGCATTTACAGAGGGCTAGATCCCGGGATCCACCCAGCTCTCCCAACTCCTAGCAGAAGCAGAGGAGTCTTGGGGCTTCCCCAGATGGGCAGTAAGGCTTAACGAATTATCATGGTTGTAAAACTAAGGATCATTTGTCATCATAGCTCTTAGCACCTTTCACTTGAACCTACAGCAACATACCCATACAGTACACCAGAACTGGAGATCATTTTCACTCTAAATTACAATCACAAAGAGGAATGGGAAGTCAGAGTCCTGCAATGGGCAGGTAGATTGCCCCCACACCCCAATTTGATCCGTTTAATTTCCACAGTGCGAGGGCACCTATAATACTCGGAAATCTCAAACGGTTGCCTTCATTACCAACGTGCTCAAATGTAGATTGCGCTGCTGTCTCGGGAAGGCAAAACTCCAGACTTCTCACATACAGTGTTTTCCTCTAGGTGACGCACAGGCCTCGGTATACTCCCCATTTTAACGATGAGCTACTAAAAAAAATTAGATCATATCCTTTGGAAAACCAACTATAAGGTCACAGGGATAGTTCCTTAATGAGGAGGGCATATTAATAATGTCTTCTTTAAAAAAACATTAAAGTATTATTTTAATGAAATCAAAGTGGTAGCATCCAGGAGTAGAGCGTTAATAAAAGAAACAAGCACTGTCAATGACATCTCTCTTCTTTGCAGTGTTATTTTCCCATTCACCCTCTCTTTTTTCAGCACATTCAAACATTTTCCCTTTTTTTTTTTTTGGCATTTTCTTCAATGTATCATTTCCCGATGCCACCTCGTTTAGAGCCATTTCTTCTCGCTGCTCAGTTCCTAAGTACAGTCTCACAAAACAGGTGAAGTTTCCATTAAAGCACTGGCATAAGCCCTCATTAAATACCATGTGGCTGCGTACTTCATTGAGCCTCCACCCCTCCCGGACGCTCTCTTCCTCCTTCTCCAGGAAATCAAGGTCCTTCACATCACCGTGCAACTCTTTGCTTTGTCCTTTCGCAAGTCCGTCGCCACTGTGGAAAGTTCTGGCCTGCCAGGCATGTGTGAAATTCGCTTTGTTGCCCTCTGCGATTTGTTTCGTTTAACATTTTTATTTGTTTTATTCACACACGCCAAGGTGGCAACATGAAAAATGTCTCTGACACTGTTTTCTGACTGTAAGGCTGAGCATTCAATATACGTAGCTGCTCCAATCTGTTTGGCCATATTTGCACCCTAAGGGAAAAAAGAACATGCAATCAATACCAAGTTTCCGCAGAGAGCCAAAGCAAACCATACAATTACTTTTCAGCACTGTTTTCCATACACAATGTTTTGTGAAAACCAAAGCTACAGCCCCAGCACTACAGCCAGCAGCTAATTTTGCAAAATAAACAGAGCTTTGGTTCCAAGACGCATTAAACAAGTATCCAGACATTATCTCCTATGCCGATAAATACAAATTGGAAGAGAGAAGATAAGCTCAATGACCTGCAAACAACTGCAGAAAGCCAAAAGAGTATTAGTAGGACCCATTTAGCAATTTCACCCTTACACCTTAACTTGCATCTGTGTATCACGTGCTCATTGGGAAAGGTCTGGACCTGGCAGCTTCCAGATTTAAGCCTGCTATCTCCAAAGAGAAAACATATTCTGACTGCCTTAAGGGCTAGCCAGCGTGCCTCTGACCTGGAGCACAGCCCATGTTACATCTCCACAAAGGGGGCAAAGTTCATAGGGAAGTGTGCTGGGGGTTTCTGGGTCGAGGACAGTTATATCAACTTGTAGCTAGGGAACAAGCAAAAAAAAAAAGGGGGGGACGACACATTAGTGGTTATACAAGCCCTTCTATTTTCATTTTAAGTGTGTTAGAAGTCAAAGCAGGGATTTGTTCCAGCAGCACAAGGAAAACAACACGCAACTCCAGCACATGACAATATCCCAGTATCCTGTTGTGGATTTTGCTACTGGAAGACAATACAGCATTGTGTGAAAAAATGGAGTCGTTTCAATGGAATTTTACTTCTGAAGGATGAATCTTTTTAGAAGGTTATGAAATCCAGCCACTCCTCACATATTCATGGGCCTGAGATACAGGCACAAGTCAGTCCAACCCCTCCTCTTTGCTCTTGTGCCAGGCTGATGGCACTAATCTATTTGGACCCACTTCTTCAGTATCCACTATTTACACTGCAGTGATGCAGCCATCTTATCAATTGTAAGTGGTAGTGGCTGATAAAGGAGTATTAGTTTGCAAGACAAGCCCTCCCCACAGTTAAACATCTCAACTCCTACTATCCAAGCCTAGCCTCTATCGTCAAGCCTCAGAAATGTTTGCTCAGGTGTAGCTGACTGGAAACTGGCTAGCATACTGGAGGCAGGGTGTCACCATCAACTGGCTTTATCCTTCCAATGCTTCCTTATGAAGTTAAGAGGAATGGGGAAAACCCCACTAAGCTCTTTGATCCCATGTTGACTTAGCAAGGCAGGGGAATTTAAAAACAAGCTGTGTATCTCGACCCCAGAAGACCCTTCCCTAGAACGAGCACAGGAGAGCACCGGGTTGCTTCATGCCACCAGGGATTTGGCAACCACAAGAGACACAACCATTGCTCAGTCTAAGGTTTTGCTTACATAGAGTACAGATGAAATTATGGGAGTTTGCTGAAGTATGCGCTTCCCTGTAACACAAAATTTTCCCTTTGGCTGCCAAGTAATAGCTTCTGGCTTAGCCCTTTGTCTTCAGCTGACTCTTGTTCCTAAGGGGTACCAGCTAAGCTGTGACACCAGAAGAGATGTGACTCTTCAACTCCAGGGGAGAAATCCACCTGTCAGTAGATTTTTTTTGATGGCTATCTATGGAAAGGGGTGAGACTTGGTGATTTTACTGAAGTACTGTAAAAATGTAATATGTGAACTTGTGTACGTAGTAAGTGGCAGACAGTATTTCCTTTTAAGTTTAATATTCAAAGAAAAATAGCATGGCAGATTACAGCTCCAAGGCTGAACATGAATATATACACATGCAACAGTGGTAGTTTGTAACCAAGTTGACGTCTACTGCAACAAGCAGGATTTAAGGACACTTCTGAATTTACACTAAGGTAAAAAAACTGGCATTTAGTTTCATATAAAATTGTCTGAGATGGAGGGATGTTTACCAAGTGAAGTGTAGAAAGATGCCACAACCAGCATAAGCCATCACAGTACAACACCCCAAGTTATATTTTAAGCAACACACTCAGTTAATGGCATCTTTGCATTTTTCAATTTAAACATGCCATAGGAGGCTGCATTATTAGTAACTGCATATTAGGAGGTGTCGGTTGTTGAGGCTGTGGATAAAACATCAAAAACTGTTTGATAACATAGGATATATACACTAGCTAAAGTTACTTTTGGAGGTAGAATTCTCACTCTTACACCCTACAGGGTGTATCTCAAACCACCACCAAGATTCAGCAGCAATGCACGATACACATGTGTGAGCAGTAAGGGGAAGTTTACCTAGAGCCCAGTTTTCCTCTGTTCTCTACCTCCTGCTCTCCCATGGCCTGATTCCTTTCCCTTTCACCTCGGTTCCTCTATGCCCTGATGCCTGGCTCCAAACTTACTTCCCTAGCAGCAGAGAACTGCTGCAAAGAATTAAGATGCTTTCTGGATTTGCTGCCACCTTCAGAGGGAACTACAAGGTGTTTTCACAGAAGATCTTTTCAGGAAATAGGATTTTTAAGGAGTCAGACTACATGCAATGCTTGTCATGATGCTAAAGTCCAATGAATGACATTCAAACCTTAAGTTTAAACAAAAAATTTTACCAATTTTTCAGTAAATAAACAGAACATGTCACATCTTAGTTACTGTTTTGGCCTCTGTAGGCCCAGAAAAGCAGTAAGTTTATTTTCAATTCACTTAAAAGGCTCTTTGCCATCAATACGGCTACAATCTTACGATGCTTAAAGCATGCGTTGTGGGGCTGCATGATTTTCTGCTGCATGAAGTCTGTGGGCAGGCTTTGCCTTTACTCATAATAGTTTTCAAATTCACCTCCAGCAACTATTACAGTATATGCACCTGACTTCTAGGATGCACTCGTGTCAACAGGGGGAGAAGTTGTTCATAAAGACGGCTACAGTGATAGAAAAGAGTCTTATTTTCCACTCCTCAGTACGACAAAGGACATGGCACATACCTGATCATAGGACACGGGTGTCTGCCTGTGATTGGAAAGTTCCACTAGTGTGCTTACATCCGTGCGCAGATCCGACTTGCAACCAACCAGAAGCATTTTGGTGTTTGGACAAAACTCCTGGATTTCACCTTTCCACTGTAAAATTTTAGGTTATTATACTCGAGTAGTTGAATGTTTAAATCCAAAGAAGCAATAGATACAAGATGAAGTTTAGTAAGTCATGACATTTCACGTGGAAATACTCTTACATAATAGTTGTATCTACCTTCAAGCTAATTTCTAAAGGCATTAGTTCCAGCAGAATCTAGTCAAGGATGAAATCTTACGATCTCATACACTCATTAATTCCACTGACTTACTAATCAAGAGGGGATTAATTGAGATTGTTTATCTACATGAGCAAAGGTGGGCAGACCTGTCGCTCCTCACAAGCGGTGAACACCCAGCCATAGCCATTTGCAGACAGGAGCCAATGAAACCTGGTGTCACCACATTCAATGGTTCGAGACAGACATAGAGGCAGGTCTTGTATGACCACAAAATAAGCATTGCTATATATTGGCTCATGGCTACATCCTCACACCTAAAACTACACAAATCTGTTGAGGGTTCAGCTATTGTGAACCAGTAATAAGCCCTTCAAACAGTACCTGTGATATATTCCTTGGGTTTGTTCCCCCTCTACATGATTATTTTGACAACACAAGAAAGCCAAAAATTTTGCAGCATAATCTGAACAGATCATACAATCCCTAAAATTTCAGGATATCATCTGCGTTTAAAAGCATATTAAGAAAAATCTTACAGAATTAAGCAACAGCATAGTAACCAACATTATCAGGGACAGAAAAGAAAGACAGTTCTAGATGCTTGTTGGCACAGCTCGTAGCTGAGAGAATAGTCTTAAGTATTTTCTGTAGACTATTCAGAGCATTGTATGTCACTTTATTCCCAGCGACACAAGAATCACTGGCCCCAGCTACAGAAAAAAGGAACCTCACATCATTAAGCCTTAAAGACAGCACTGCAAAGTTGAGTCATGCCCAGTGACCAAGGAGAGAACCAGGACCACCTCACAAACACAGAGCTTGATTATCAAAATTCAATTTTTTGATGCAGGGGAAGCCTCGCACTGAATCTCAGATCACTGAGCTTGTGAAAAACTCTGAAGTTTGGTGCAGGATTGTATTTCTATGCCACTGCTAGGTTTTCTGGTGGCTTCCAGAGGCATTTGTCACTGGCTGCTTCTAACTTCAGGCTGAGAAATTACGTAAAGCCATGGCAAAAGTCCAAACACTTGGCAGGCACGTTTTAACCGTCTTTGCAACATGGCAAAGTTTCTCAATCCCGTCTGTTATATGAATATAATGTGAGAGACAATTTCTTGCTGCACCCAGCCCTGCACCTCACACCACCCTAAACAATTCACTGCTGTCTAAGGGCTGAGGAATGAGAATTTACATCACGCCTGAGCATACATTAGGGAGTTTTTTGTTTTCAATTAACATTCATCCCTTTCAAACAAATGATCTCAAATTCTAGCAGTGCAGGGTGCAGTCCTGTCATCTCTCCATTAAAAGAAACAAACTGAAGTTTCCAATGTAGGAAACAGCACCACTCTTCAGAGATTTAAAGACAAGCTACTCAAACACTTCTGTACTCAAATGTTTCTCAAACACTTGCCTTTTTTAGCACACTGTCAAGAGTTTCTGGCCGACTGATGTCAAAGCAAATCAGGACAGCATCAGAATCTGGATAGGAAAGCGGGCGGACATTGTCATAGTAAGGAGACCCTGCAGGGAAACAAACATTTTTATTAGCTTATATTTTTCACTCTCTGCAGTCATTCAAGCTTATTCAGAAAGTTTAGAAAGGTTTTTGTGAAGCTGTTTAATGGCACCCAGCTACCATCTTTTCTTCAATAGCACTGTATTCCCAAAACACTCATTGCAATTGCTCACTTCCCCACTTTCCTTTTGTTTCTCACCTACAAAAGCAACAGCTTTCCCAAGTAATTAAGAGTGATGGCACCCCAGTGATCCATCTCCCACCAAAAGCTTATGATGACCCCAATAACAAGGAAAGGGAAATGAGGTCAGCCCAAGTTTAAGTCCCAGCATTAACCTGCAGGGATTTGACTTTGAGAACAAATCCTTAACCTCCAAAAGGCTTCTTCAAAGCAGATCTGTCACAGTTAGGCTTTCACGGAAAAAATTCAGAAAGTTTTGAAAGAAGTCAGTTTTGATTCTTCTAACATTGAATTTAAAACAAATAGTTCCAAGTGCAAAAAGCATCTTTAGTTGTCATGGATATCGGCAATTTTTAGAAGAAACACTTGCTTCAAATTAAAGCATTTGTTGCAGTGCTCCAGCAGGAAAGAACCCCAGTCCTACAGGCAGGCACACAAGTTATCTGTCACAAAAAGCCTCACCCATCTGTAAACCAACACATGCTTGCAATAAATGTTTATGTTTAGCCCTTAAGACAAATTTTTATCAATGAGATCAAAGCTAATCTAGTAATTTGATGAAACAGAAACAGGTCCAGTATTGCACTTTGTGCATATTTTACTTCCAGAGCTGTTAAGGGATATGCTGGGTTTCTTTAAGAATTGTCATAATGTGCAGAGTTACAAACACATCTCCAGAGTCAGAAATCTCATTTTTATCATCTGGTGAATCTGGTAACATGGTTAGGGAAAAGAAATCTTCCTTTTCTCTAGGAAGTTCCAGTCACTCAGCCACCATTTGGTTTGGCCTTAACTCTGCTGAAGCTTCACTTACTGAGAATACATTTCTGATTTAGAAAGGTACTTAAACAGTTAAGTGGTCCACCAGGATAAGGGCTTTGGGCTTTAAAACGCATGCCTGCAACTTAAGATGCTCTTTCTTAGTCATATAGTCTTATTTCTATATTTTTCTCTCATGAACCTAAAATACAGCATAGAACATATGCAACAAGAATACAGCTTTCAAGAGTTGTGGGGTTATCAGCTAATTATATCACCAATTTTCCAACTATCTAGAACTAAGTGGCTGTTAAGGTCTCAGAGGCTGAGCAGACAATTAACTGGATTAGAGAAATTCCTCAAGTTTTTAACTGACAGACAGCTCATGCTGTTGCACAAAGCAGAACGGGGAATGGTGTGAACGTATCACAGATGACTTCAGTTGGACAGCTTATACTGGAAGGAAGGAGTCAAGAATCCCAGGAATGTTGTTTTTGAAATGAAGAGTAACACATGGGGAATGAAGCATTACCAAACTAGGTAGCAGAAGGTAATTTGTTGAACAAGACTATTTTATTCAAATGCTCATCTTCATAAATGATGTCAATCTAACAAAGAGGCAGCTGTCAAAAACTGCTCTTCAAAAAACAGTTAGCTGTCTTCAGCAGTAAATGACATGTTAGAAAGAAATCTAAGTGAGCTGAGCTGACCGGTAGTTAACTATTCATTTGAGCTCAGCTCTGCTTGCAGAGACTATCAATAAACATTTTCCACTCCTAATTATTCCCCAGCTATCTCCAGCACTGCTATTACAGTGCCTCCATCCTGGAGCCTCAGGGCCAAGTTATTTATCCCAGAGCCCCAGGGCCAAGTTATTTGCCCTGGACAGAGGAATTGCAGAGCAGCGTTGCCATTAACTAGCCACCTGCACGGCTCCGCAGCGTTAAACCAGCCAAAGCACAGACTGCTGCCCAGGCACCAGCCTACATGCTGGTGAGAGCCACTGCCTGGCGAGCACATCTCCCTGCCGAGCTCCAGCAAGTAAGGGCAGGATTGAAGATCATTAATGCTTGGCCAAATGGTTGCTGGCTAGAAAGGAGTCTCAAAAAAGCCTCACCCAGAAACTAATTCCTTAGACACATACCTATCTCCTCACTCAGCAGTCTTCAGGGATACAACATACCATATATGTCCATCAGCATGTATTTATGTATACATACAGTCACCACCTCCAGCCCAGAGACTCCTTTCCACTGTGTCAGCTGTAGCTGTGTTTGTTTTGAGGGTTTTTCTCTTTAGGTTTTCCTTCTGAACCTCTCACATTACAGATGCTGAGCTAGAATAGGTGTACTTTTATAAGCAGCCCTTCTGCTCAGATGTAAGCTAAGAGGAATATCTGACACCTCCTTTTCTTCGGGGTAGTATGTGGCAGAACAAACGGGAACCGTTTAAACTACTTGGGCTGCAGTATCAACAAAGGAAATTTCCTGGTCTCATTCAACAGCAATAACTGAACCTTTATTACTGAGCAAATAAAGAGGGGCTACGGCCCTCGCTGTGCGAGCCTATTCAATCTGGCATTTCGTCGTTTCGCCCAGAGAAACCCTCAGAAGGCAGGAATCTCAGGAATGAGGCTCAAGTCTGAACAGACAACTTGAGCACAGCCCAGTAAGGCTGCTCACTCTTTTTCAAGTTAGTCTACAGATTTGAAGCCACGCCAACCCTAGAAAACAGAAGGAGAATGTAGAGCTACAGCTATGGTATTTGTGGAAAAAAATAAGCCTATTTGTGCTTGTGATTCTGTTCCGACAAAATAAAACATTTTTTGTCAAGGACAACATGGATGATTTTTCTGTTTTATCAAGGAATTGCTGATAATGCTGTAGTTCCTCTTACTTTGTGGTGGAAGTATATTCCAGCTGCCATCCCCCTTTTTTAATCTGTTTGGCAGCTTGAGTCATTTAAGCCAAAATAATTTAAAACATTAAGAATTATCTACTTTTACAACCTTATGTTTCATGCAAAGTACAACATAAGTTCAGCTTTTAAACCGAAATAAAACCCCTCCCCAGCCATATGGTTGGCTTTGGTCTACAGAAGAAACCAAGCTCAGGCTTAAATGTTGCTATCTTAATAAATAACAGAATTACATCATTAAAAGTTAAAGCATACTTAAATGTTGATGGCTCAGTACTACTCTAGGATGCTAGACCATGGAAAGCCGATGCCCTATTTGCCTGCAAGACCCAAAGCCGCCACCACCACCAGTTCCAACCAGGAGGTTCAGCCCCACATCCCACCGATGGAGCTGAACCTGGGCAGCTCCTGCTCAGCACGCTGCTCAGCCTCTGCTTGCCCGCAGGCCCTCAGGGAAGCGGTGCTCAGTAACAGGCAAGACTTTACTATTTACACACCACCAAGCAGCCATCAGGCATCGGTCTTTGTAGCCTTTTGGACTCCAGTCAACTGAAAGAACAACAGATGAACGGCAGCATTCTCACTCCTAAACCCTTGGGCTCACTAATTATCAGCTACATAGAAAACACATCAAATACTGCAGTGGCTGCTCTAAGTAGCTGAATCACTGCTGATGGCCTTCCTCCTTCCAAATCCACCTCGGCTGTTTTGGAGAAAACACAGGTGATTTTGTGTACTGAGTATCATGAACACATCATCTCCAAGCACACACAAATATCACAGCAGTCATAGCATTATAAGTGTTTACATTTCTGCACCTCAAACAGAAAACAGGACTTTGGTAGGTGACTTAGCATTCCCAGTTATCAATTATTTCCCCTCTAAGGGGGGGAAAACAAAACCTATAAAGACTAGTTACTGTTACTCTGCCATAAAAAAAAAATCACATGGCTCAATATAGCCAACTTGAAAGTGAACTGGAAGGCAAAGACAGAAATTTGACATTTCCTTTACAATGCTTATTGCCAGAGAACTTGGGGAAATAGTAACTTTAATTCCCATATGTTTTAGTTGTCTTCGGAAAGATTTCAGCACAAAGCTTTATAATTAATATTGTTTCTATATGGACACTGAATACATTGTACACATTCAAATCACAGTAAAGCTAACTTGATTTAAAGCTCTAAGGCCCTTCTGGATTTAATTACATGCTAATCCCCAGCAGTGCATAAGTATTTCTGGGCCTGTTGAGAACTATTTTATTGCAGTAACCAGTGCAGTTTCCACAGTTCAACCAATTAAAAAAACCCTAAAATACATTTTAGGGAGACACAGGTATGTATGCCTAATTAATGGCATGCAATTTCTATGCCACAGCTGCTGTTGTACTAACAAGAAATATAAATATCAAAGTAGTCACTTTTAACAGAAGCAGCCAGAAACTTGGTAAATGCACTTTAGACCATGCCTATGGCAGACAAAGACATGTAATATAGAAGTACTTTTCACAGTGTCCATGAGACTACGAGATGAAGCTTTAACCTGAAGAAACTTCTAATACTCCACCTAGCAAAACAAGCACACAGCTCAAGACTGCCATACTATGTTACCACAGAGTGGAATAATTTATGGTGTAGTTAGATTGCAACCAGACATTCCTGCTTTGAAAGAAGGGTTGGTAGTCCAAAAACCAATTGAAATTCAAGTTGGCAAGTGCTTTCCTTAATGCTGTGGCTAATTTAAATCCTTATAATGACTCACAAAACTAGACAGTACCAGAAAATATTTGAATAATGAATCTTCCCATTCCACTCTTACTTGTAAGAGTGTTTTGTCCCATATTTCTAGGGGCATATCCAAGTTACAACAAAAACTTCCCAATAAATTTACAGCTATTCTCAAAATGTTCTATCAATTGCGTGACTCTCTACATTTTGTACTTAAAATTCCTCTGGTAAAAAGCACATTATTATTATTATATAAAAGATTGTAAACCAAAACCATGACAGCAGGGCCTTCAGGTGTGTTCTCACCCTAACACAAGACTATTTTAACCAATGCCTACAGCTTCTCATTTTCTCAGTGAGCAAAAAAATGCTCCAAGTGGCAGTACCTTCCTTCCAAAGGATTCAGGGCAAAACCTGACATTTACTTTAACTCAAGTTAGGGACTAATTTGCAAGGCAGCCTGTTGCATGCTCCTAGTTAGAAAATACAGAGGGTTAAAGATGGATACTAAATACTTTCAAGATCACTTGATGAGTATCTGCAGTATATTGCAATCAAACTCAGCTAAATAGCGTCCTTCCCCCCTCCCCCAAGAGATGCTGAAAGTACCTCAAATGACTTGAGCCATTACCTGCAACGGACATTATCTTCCATTAGTATTTGGCAGTTAATCAGTTGTATTTAAGTTAACTAGATCTAGTCCTGCTTTAAAAATGTCATTAAGACATTTATTCTAATTCAGCAGAGGACTAGGACAAAGACTTGTAAAAAATAAATTACTGAGAATTTAAGATAATGCTAAAACACTATCTTATCTTCTGATGTCTCTTATCTGGTGATGTGATTTTGCACTGGGTTAATGGGTTTGGGTAGCATCTCTTCTTGCAGTTGGTTAGGAGGGCTGTTTAGGAGACAATTCTTCATCCAGAGTCCCACAACCAGAGGATCTACCGTTCAGTAATACTTTACAAGACCAAACACTGGATCTTTCAAACATTTCCTCTTCAGTTTCAGACTGCAGACAAATTAGCCACTTGATCTTAAGCTTCCGATTCAGTCAGATTTTCTATTAGTTCCAGGACAGGCCTGAGAGGATGACATGCACATGCAAAAGGCTGGCAGGTGTTTCTTCCACCACTTTTGACTTTTGAAGTGCTACAGAATATTTCATTACATGGGTGTTTCCAGCCTTTTGACATACAGATTCCAAAACCTTCCCCCGTCAAACAATTTAACCTGCGAGCGTGTTGTATTTTAACAGCTAAAGATAAAATTTTCCAAAGTAACTTCACTATTAATTTTTAATAAGCCCTTACTCCATAGAGTTTGTTATAGCCAGCTTAGTAATCAGGATGAAAGCTCAAACCAGACACATTCTAGAAGTCTTACTTGGCATAAGATGAAGAAAAAAATCAGTTCAGAGCTACACTGATACTGGTTGTGGGTACAGAGACTGCCTTTTCCCAGTAATTGTGTTGCAAGAATTTGGAATAATTTCCTCAACAGCAAGAGGAAAGCCAACTCACCGCCTAAACTCCTTTTTTTTCTTTTTTTTTTAAAAAAAGGGATTAACATTTTAGTTCCTGGTAGAAGGAACTGCTGGGTCCAAATTCAACATTAACAAGCTATCTACACAACTTGCCTAAAGAAAAAAAGGGCTTGTATGCTCTGTCAACTTCCTCCAGCTTTTTCCCAATCACTTCTGCAGAATAATGTTGATCCACACCTGCGCTAATGGCTCACAGTGCCATTCACCCCTGACCACCTCCCCCAGTACACTCAGTTACTGGGAGGCAGAGACTCGCTGGCTGTGTCCACGCTCCTCTCCAGCACTGGGGTGGCAAGTTTACTCACCACCCTGGCAGTTTACCAAAGACAGCAGGATCTAGAGGAGTTCCTGGCCTAACATGAGATCTAAGACACTGAGAACCTCAACCTTTGAGGCATGCGAGCCAGTGTTTTTTGACATGGCCACTGCAGGTACAACTGGAAGAATGAGGAAGACCTTACGCACTGATCTTCGTATGTAAAAAAGGATGGTTCCCTCTACATCCTCAGGCGGCCAGAGATGCCTACCTCCCTGATCTTTCCTGGCTTCAAAGGCTCTCTAAAACACAGGAAAAAAAGTGCTGTAATTTGTAAAAAGAACAAGCAGGCATCAAGAAGGCCACAAGGAACTCGGATGCGAGCCGATTTAATTTCCCATTAGCATATACAAACACCTTTTCACTCTTCTACGGGGTAAAGCAGGGTTTCACAGCAGCAGAGGAGCAAAGGTACCCCTGGAGCTCCTCGGATAAGCTCTTTCCAGTCAGGCAGGTGAGAACACATACCCCTGCCCTGCCTGCCTTCCCCTGCAATGCTGACAAATCGCTTAATGGAGGTTCGTCCACACCCTTTTCCCTCCCCAAGTCAAGTATATGCCTAAAGTATACCTCAGTTTTAAAAAAAAAAAAAAAAAAAACAAAAAAACAAAAAAAACCCCCAGAGGCCGCCCCCCGCCTCGCACAGCTGCATCTGGAGGCGGGCAGCCCCGCCACGACGCGGCGGTGAGGGGCTGCGGGGCCGCAGAGGCGGGATTGGGGGGGTTCTCCGGCTCCCCCCGGCTCCCCTGACCGACGGGGGCTGCCTCTCCTCACCGATTTACCCCCCCAAAACCACGGACACAGCCCTCCCTCGCCCCGGGGAGCGCTCACCCGAAGTGTCCCAGAGGCTGAGCTCGATGCGCTGCGTGTCGATCTCGAAGCTGGCCGTGTAGTTCTCGAAAACGGTGGGGACGTAGCTCTGCCGGGAGACAGCGCACAGTCAGCCCGCGCCCACCGCCGCCCCGGGACCGGCCTCGGTCCCGGTCCCAGCCCGGTCCCGGTCTCGGTCCGTCCCCCCCAGCCCCGACCCACCTCGGGGAAGCAGTCCTTGGCGAAGACGTGGAGCAGCGCGGTCTTCCCGCACTGGCTGTCGCCCACCACCACGATCTTGCACTTCACGTTTTGGTTGGGATCCATCACCGCCTTGCTCGATAACTTCTGGCTCGCTCTTCTTTCCTTCATTGATCTCGGCTTAGTCCCTCGGCCGGCCACAACGAAAGAAAA